GTGACTCTTGTCAAATGCCTTTCCCTACTCAAAAAAGTATGGAAACTCCTTTTTAATTTCATGTAAAAGGGGAGAAAAATGCTGTTCTCATTATGTAATTGGTATCGGCTAAATCAGCACTCACACAGTGCCTGCTGATCTGGGAGGGATGAAAGGCAGAGCTGTGTGACAGGGATCAGTGGAGAGGGAGAGATTTTAGATGTCTTATGTAGAGTGTAACTGGAAGGCACCTGGGATGAGATATAAACCCAAAATCAGGTCACAGTTTAGTAAGGAAGGCTAAGAGAAAAGGTTTAGGGAAAGGTGCAAAGGGAAAGGAGAAGAGAAAGGAGGGGAGGATGTGGTTAAAGGATAAACACAGCCAAGTTACACCCACACTTCCAGAAAATAYCCATCTGCATTGGCTAAAAGATGTGACCTGTTTCTTTGTGATGTGGCAGGCAGTGCTGTGATGAAGGAATTTAACAATTCCAGTCTGGATTGTTGCTACATACAGCACTGTGTGGGAATGCAATTAGCACAGCAGAGCAAATGATTTCAGGATGTGCTGTTTCAACATCCCTTCGCCTTGTAGGACTTCTGCGGAGAGAAAAGTTTGCTCTTAAAATGCACTGGCTCCTGGTTTGTTTTCAAGTGTGACACAAAGCAGGGACTTTAGGTTCTGAATTAGATACAGTTTGAAGTCCTTGCTCCTGGCAGACTGCTTTTCTCCTAGCAGCCCTCTGGGCAGGGCCACTGCTGCCAAGAATTTGTCTCTAGTCTTTCTCTGCCCGATGATCCATCAGAACCATGTCTGGACAGGGCCTGTCTGCTCACAAACAGCTGCTGCCAAAATGTTGGGATTCTTCAGCTGAACACCCCCCACCCCTGGGGGATTTAAAGGATGTGTATGAGGGATATGGTTTAATGGTGGACTTGGCAGTGCTGAGTTAAGGGTTGGACTCAATGAGCTTTCTCAGCTCTTCTGGGATTCTACACCTTCTCAGAAATGCTGTGCTGCYTAAGTGGCTGTTGGATTTTCAGAAGTCACAGAGTCCTGGAGGTGAGGGGAGACAGTTCAGAATTTTAGGGCCAACACAACTACATGGATGTTTTACACTTTCTGATTGCAGAGGAGCCTCTCTACCTGTAGGAACAGCTGCAATACAGATAAAGAACTCTTACAGACCAAGAAATTGCTCTCATAAGGGTTTTTGGTTTTATTTTAGGTTTTTATTCGTAATCAAATTTTGTCTTGAAAAATACATGAAATCTGAGACAAACATTTGGAGGGTAGGACACAAAAAGACAGTCACAATATGTACAATTCTTACAGTCAAATCTCTCTATGCACTGGGACTCCAGCTGTTCTGAGCTGCTCTGTGTCCAGGGTGGCCAAGTACCAGCTGAGTTTCACTGCAGCCACAGCACAAGCTGTGTGTGCGATTTTGTTTTTCTCCCCCACCATGGACAAAGTGCTTTTTAGATGAGAAACTCAAAGGTAACTGCCTCCCTCACCTCAGTTTTAAGCTACATAATTTAATTCTGTCCCTTCCTTGCAAGAACAAATGTCTTTCCATTGGAAAAAAAAAAAAAAAAAGGTGCAACTGTTCCAACTCCAAATGACCCCGTGAGTCACTGTCCCAGGGCTCAGCAGGACGGGGGTGCTGCCGTCACCGCTGATCTCCAGCCCGGGGGAGTAGTTCTGTTCTCTGGACAGCTTTTGGGTTGTGAAATAGGGTAGTTGTGGTTCTGGCCCCAAAGAAAACTTCTGCACTTTCTCGACATTGTTTGTGTGCAGGATCCTTTCGACCCAAATTTTACCCAGGACACCTATGTGGCCTGAGTTRAACATTTCCAGAAATAAACCCATCTAGTTTGCGTAAGTATCAGTTACAATGATTCTGATGAATTTTAAAGTATTTTTCCCCTCCAAAGGTACTGTTTTTAAAGAACATTGTCACAGTAACAATTTCTCRTTGCAATTTGAGCTTAAGACTCCAGCTTTGCCATGTTTCATGGCAAAAAGAGTGCTGAGTTCAGCCTTCTAAATTTTCTGACTTATTTAGTAGTGGATTTTGTAGTAATACATCACTTCCTTCCTCTGTGGATATTTGATGAATTTCTACCCTCTTTCTCTGTCACCCTTTCTTATCACCCTTCTGCTGATGAAATACTACATTTCTTGTGGAAAAAAAGGGTTCTTACTGCTAGACCATGACGCTTAAGAGTAAAAACAGAAGCTGAAGTTCCACAGGATCAAGTTTCACAAGGTTTCCATMCTTACATTTCACAAAATGGGAGTGTGTTCCTACTTCCAGTTTTTGTCTGACACAGAGGGTAGCTACCCCTGCTCCTCCTTTCAGCTGTCTTGAAGGACAGCAGATGAGATGCAAAAGATCTCATGAGGATCAATTAAAATGCGATCCTGGCGTTTGGGGAATCTTTCATCCTGTCATTAAAGCAAACCCACACAATCCAAAATAAAATATTTATCCTGGCAGCACTAAAACTCCAAGGAACAAAGGAAAAAGCAGAATTGCCCCTTCAGAGTTCTGCTGCCCTGGGTTTTGTGGAGCGCCAGAATGTGGGGTGTAAACACCTGATGCTTGGTCTGCTCTCAGCTCTCGGTGCTTCTTTCCTGTGGCTCTGGAACAGGTGTCACACCGACCCCACAGACCTGCTCTGCCCAGAAACGTCCTCTGGCGCGGAGAATTTCCCAAAGTCAAGGCTGGCTTCCCCAGTTACAAGTGCCAAAYGCCCAGGGGGACCAGGAGGAGGAAAGGGAGGGGAAGCAGAGCCAGACATGGCACAAYTGTGGGGCTTCCGGAGCAAGTCTGACTCTGCCCTGAAAAATTGAAAAAGAGAAAGTCAGCATGAAAGTGGTGCCTTGCCAAAAAAGCTCATTTGAAGTTTGCATGACACATGTTGAAGTTTTGAAGCTCATTTGAAGTTTTACATGACAGAAGGTTGTTTTTAAAACAATGGATTTTTCATTTTCAAAATTTCCCTTTAGTGTCTGTACACGATCTGGACAAAACAGTCTCAAGGTACTGGGACAAATAATTTTTTCTTTGTCATAGAAAAGGTGCAGAAACTCAGCAACAATGAATGCAACYTTTCTGGATGACTGAGAATCCTTGTTTAAAATCCTGATAGAAAAGAAACAGCCAGCCAGCTGGGAGCTGTCCCTSCCCACAGCAGGGGTTTGGAATGGGATGATCTTTGAGATGYCTTCCAAGTCAGGCCATTCTAGGATTTTAGGATGAAAACACATTTTCATTCTTCTCACTCAGGGCCTGAGGCAGATGTTTTGGTTAAGAATCCATAAATAATGGCAATAAATACTAAAAAATCTAGGCCACAGATATTTTAGGTGGTAGCAGCACTGTGCAACTCTTGGTACAAAMCCCACAGTGTGGACACAGGACACAAATTACCCTTGACACAGGTGGTACCTTCAACCTCTGCTGGATTTAATACACAAATAAAAAGAGATTTTCAACCCCTGACTTAAACAGAAGAGATTTTTTTTTTCCTATAAGTGTTCAGGTCCAAGCTTTTCTCTGAGAAGATCAGGCTGTATATTGGTTTTTACATCACCAGCCTAAGGGCTGTCCCCATTGCTATGGGATCAGCTGTCAGAATCCCACTGTAGTTAATTTATCCCTAGTCAGGGTGCTTCCCCTGTTCCTAGAAGGAGTTGGTGATATTAATGTCCAGAGAGCAAATAAACATCAGGTAGTCGTYGGTAATTCTTTGAAATAAATGTAGGGTTGTCACAACAAGGTTCCTGGCCTTTTGTGTCCTCTTCCAGGCCCAGCCTCTTTCATTATTTTTCCCAGAAAAAGTGTTAAACCAGTTTTATTGACCTAGGAGGAGTCTTTCAAGACACTCAGAGTGAAAGTCAAATTTGGCATTTTAAAGCAATTACAAAAAGCAAACAATCCAGCARACAAACAGAAATGTAGCCATAGTGAAACAGAGCAAAACTGTTTCTGTTTTGCATTAAAGTAGTATTTGTTGATCTGGTTGACTGTGAAATGTGAGAACTGTTTGCATACAATGTCTTTGTTCTCAGCAGGTCATTTTTTAATCTTCCCAAGTCCCTGCTGAAATAACAACTAACATAAAACAGATTCTTCTTTTCTTAAGAAATTGCTGAAAATTATATAAACAAAATAAATTAAAAGTGAGCTGTGGYTGACATTTTCTTTAAAAGAAGTTGACAGCAGGAAATATATTTTTTCTTCTTGCAAAAAATTACATTAAAGAAGTTAGGCTTTTGTTCTTTCCTCATCTCCAAGTTCCTCAGAATCCAGCAGTACAARAACCATCAGGTGTCAAAGGTGTGTGATTCAGTTTGCACTTGCATAGCAAAGTGAAACACTTCCCCTTTGTCCCAATAATTTATATTTTTTTTCCTCAATGCAAGTGCCTTTTCATTGTAAGAAACAGTTTATATTGAGGGATAGTTGTCATGAAGGTGTTGGCAGAGTCAAACTTACACACAACTATCTCATTTAAATACAACCCACTTACATTTGGTTTTGAGAATCTCCTTCTGCTTCTGCATTAACAAGTTTGACCTTTGATAATTTCTGATTTCTTGTGGAAGGCAACAGCCAGAGATATTCTARCTCCTGTTCTGTTTGCTTTTATAAAGTAATGTGAGAGACCATAATACCACCTTGAACTTAACTTCATGTTTTTTGAAGACCTTTAAGCCAACTAGACTACCTGTTTTAGATCTAAAAATATATATTTCCTGTATTTTTTTCAAGCTGTTTTTTGCTCATGAGGCATGAGAACAGATTTTTTTTTTTGTTCTGTGTGATCATGAGACAAAACACTGGAACATTTCTCTTTCTTAGTTTCTGTTTGAGTTTATTGCAGCCTGATCTGTCTGTAATATCATAGTATAGCTGAATTTACCATGTTAACTGTAATATGATAATTGTTATGTAAAGGATCATATTTTCCAGCTCCAGGGAGTAAAATACAAATTGCAGCTGTTGATTTTATATGACAAAGTGTTACAGGTTTGATGCCAATTTAAGACTCTGTAGCACTAATAAGAATCATCTGGCTTGCAAGGAGGATTTTTAGGGAAGAACTTACTGACAATGGTATCTAGAAGCTGGACATCCCTTCTGCACTGAATTCACTGCAGAAGTGTTTAGAAATCATCTCAATGTAGTTACTTCTCTGTAACGAATAAACCTAGATAATAACATCTGTACTATATCGCAAAACTGCTTTTGGATGAAATCTATCTTAATTTCCCAGAAGAACTTATGTGGAGTCACTAATCATGTATTTTTAAAAAAATATTTATTAGCAAAAGGACCCTCAAATTTCTCAGTCTGGTAGTTTAACTCTACARCTACCTGAGAGGAGATTGTAGTGAGATGGGGRTTGGTCTCTTCTGCCGTGTCTCAATTGAAGGGATGAGAGGAAATGTCCTTAAATTATGTGAGGAGAGATTCAGATTAGATATTAGAAAAAGAATKRACTGAAAGAGTGGTTAWARGCATTGGAATAAGCTGCCCAGGGAGGTGGTGGAGCCACTCTCTCTGAGGCTTCTGGATGTGGARCCTGKGGACATGGTTTAGGGGTGATYATGGTYRTGCCAGGCTGATGSTGGGACTRGATGATSCTGAAGGCATCTTCCAGCCTTGWTGATCCTGTGATTTATTMATTCCTAGGTAATTTTAAAAGTCCTTAACTCCCAGAACYGAGTGGCTCCTGTGTTACTTGTTTTTTTACTGTTTTCTATGAAGCCCATGCTGGTGAGTAGCTTTGTGGACATTGTGGACTCCTGGCACTCCTCTCTTCAGTCCAGCTCTGTCTCAGTGGTGGAGATATTTCTCCCAGTCTGGGAYAGCTGTATTTTTGTATTTTGCCAAGGTTAGTAAGAAAGAACAAGCCCCCTAAGTTTGTTGACTTTTTCTATTCAGCATATTTGCCYAATCTCACAAATACAAAATAAAGCACAGGATATTCACTCAGACACTCAGCAAATTAAGGAATATTGCCTTACCAGAAGGGGAAGGTGGCTCCTCAGTCCTAGTTTGCTCTGGAAAAAAAACCCCCACAATAATTAAAGTTAATTGTTTGAGCCTAAAACTTTTTCTGTTTTTCTGATAATTGATCTAAGTGTAAACGCTCTTTTTTTTTTTTTTTTTTGAGGAAGAGTACACTTGTCAAAGCAACCAAAGGTTTAAGTATTATCATGGAGTTAAATCAAAGACATCTTACAGTTCCCAAAAAATAGATTAAGGAAATATTCTGATTCTGCATTTTCAATTTTTTTTTTCCATTTTGAAACTTGCAAAACATTTCACTTTGAAATTTTCTGACCAAATGTATTTCACTTTACATTTTAAAAAAATTTTTCTTTTGGGAATTATGTGCATTAAAATAAAGATATTGCCAAGGTTTATATTCCTTGAAAACAATTTCTTCTATTTTAAGCAGGATTAAATCTATGTGATTGAGTATAATGAGTTTCCAGCTGATTTATTCAGGCAAGACATGTTATAAGGGTATGATTTTAGGTTTTCTTTTTCAGTTTTTCAGCTGGTCAAACTCAATTCCTCATCCTTCTAGTGGCTTGTAGATAATTCAAACGTTATCTCAGTTGTTTGACATTATTCAAACATGTATTATGGTCTCACCCATTTTCCTAAGGAGAAAAAAATAATAATTCTTGATCTTCAAACAGATCCACAYCTTCCAGCTGCCAGGGAAAAGGAAAGCAGCAACTGGCTGTCATTCCTCTGAAGGGGTCTGTGACCTGGACTTTGGATCCAAGTGCCAAAGCTCAAACTTCAGCTTCACAGACCCACATGCAAACAGTGAAATGAACTCTCCTGTTCCAGTAGGGAAAAATGGATCAAGGGCAGTGCAAACCCATAAATAACCAAACACTTAAATTTGGGGATGGTAAYCAKTAATGTCTCCTGAAAAGGAGAGGGRAAAGGCAGTGCCTTGCCTTCAGGACTGCTGAAGTTCTGAGGCTTAACAAAAAAGGATTTTTCTTTTCTTTCTCACATATTCTTCCAACAAAAGAAAGGAACAGAAARAAACTGAGAGAAGAATTGCCTTAAAATTTGAAGTCATCCCAGACAACGGCCAAAGATGGCCTATCAACAAGAAATGGTGCCCTCCCTTTGAACAAAACAGAAATCTTACTTGATACATTGAGTTTAATTTTAGATTTCTTGGTGTGATGATCCTCAACCTGYTTGTAGATGCAGATATATTCAGCATTGTCCTCTRACTGGACATTGGAGATCTTTAAGGAAAGATTGCCATRCTTCATCTGGTCCAGGAAAAGACTGGTTCTGCCATGGAACTGTTTGTCCTGGGCCTTCAGCGAGTCCTGCCCCTTCTGAAAGAAGTGCACTATCTTCATGCCAATCTGCCAGTAGAGCATGGACTTGGAAAGGCTCAGCTCTCCAGGAGGGGTGGTGCTGCAAGGCAGAACCACAGATTCTCCAACAAACGCGTGGCACGTGGTGTCCAGCTGACCTGGAATGAAAACCAGACACCTTCATCAGTGYRCAGCACAGAGAGGGRCACCAGATTTCCTACGATTTGTCTWMCCCAYATCAYTATTGCCACTCCCCTTCCTTCCAGCCAGCAGGGCCATGTGTTCTCAGAGCCCAGCCAGCTGTGCAGCAGGACAGGTGTTGATGCGTGCAAGTTGCCTTCACTTTGGCACTGTGGCTTTTGCTTGAACTTGTTTCCACTTGTTTCTTCTTAGCTGGTGATTTTAATTCCAGGTCTTGGGGATYTCAGTCTTTGGGATTAGGTGTCTGATTTGACTTTAATTAACAGGTCAGTTCACAAGAGGAAAAGGGGATGCAGGGCACTGGAGGTGGGCAGACATGATTAAACAAGTTCTGGTTTTGTAGGAAGTCTGGCTGAAAAAAGGAGAAATGTTAAAACAGGGCTAGACCAGGAGAAAACTCCTGGATGAGTTTGGTCACTCACAACTCCCATTACTGGGCTACCAGATCATGATTCCTAACTGGTAGGTAATGTGCTGGAGGCTCCCATCTCCCTTCTCCTGCAGAGGGTCTGACAGAGCAGGGCATTTTTTCTGCAGGTTTGGTTTGGTGCACTCTCACTGACCCCATGGCTCTCATTCTCTGTGGTGCTACACTCCAGCAGCCCAGAGTTTGTCATTCTCACTTCAGATAAATGATTTTTCCAAGACCTTTGGGAGACTTGGTGGGTACCTGATACATTGAGTTTAATTTTACATTTCTTTGTGTGATGATCCTCAATCTGTTTGTAGATGCAGATATATACAGCATCGTCCTCTAACTGGACATTGGAGATCTTTAAGGAAAGATCTGCCATGCTTCACCTGGTCCTTAAAACTTGCATTGGGGAGGCTTGGTGGGTATCCTAGACATCAGGCAGAGGTGTTCCCAAACTCCCCAACTTTCCCAACCAATTCCAGCACATTCCAAGATGAAGACACCCTGCAAGTGAACAGGGGCACAGGCAGGGCAGGCAGTGGGGCTGCACCCCACTTACATGCACTGTTMATTTAATAACTCTGAYGCCAATTATTTCTATAAATCCTTCYGAGTGAGCTGAAAACACARATTTGCAAAAATGGGTGGGTCTGCCACTACCATGTGGGAAATTCCTACCAGATTGTAATGCTACATTTTCCAGGGGAAGACKGGGTTGTGGAAGAAGGTTTTTATGTATTTATAAAGCATAGGCAACTAGGTATTTCCAGCACAGAATGTGGGCTTAAATTAGCACTCTGATCAAATCTGTTTCATAAAATAGGTTTGTAAATGAAAATACAGATTAATTAATTTGGAAGGAAAAGTTATTCCCAGCACAGAGCAGAACAGAAGCAGCGTGAATCTGTGACTGCACCAAAAAGCTGAAATTCACTGTGAAACAACTCAATCTGCTTCCATGGCCTAAGTTCTGTGAAGTGTGAGGGGCAAGTAACTAGATTCAATATTGGAATAAATATTCTTGGTTGCAGTGGGGTCATTCCTGTGTTTTTKGTTTGCATCAGCTCTCTGCATATGACAGGTTAAAGACCAGAGAGAGTCCCAGTTTCCCCTTGAAGCCACTGACTGAGCCAGGGCTCAGCTTGTCACATGCTCAGGCCTCTGTTTCCATCTCAATCAGCCTCTTTKGTGCCACACTGTGTTTGTCCAGACATGAAAGCAGAAGGAAAAGCGTAATATGGAGAGCTAAATCTCAGAGCCAAGTAAACGTCTTTGGTTATAACTCTGTCACCACACATCTGCTTCCCTTTGGCTTTCAGAGTTTTCAGCTGAAGATCCCTGTCCRATTTGCCCAACAATGTCAATGTTTAGCTGAAAAAACCCCACACATCCGAAGTGTTTTTTCTGGTCCGCGGTGGAAGGAAAATCCCCTTGTTGTGTGGAGAGCGCAGCCATTTGGTTGCTACACTTTGGCCACAACAAAATACTCATCACAGGGTAATTAGAGCTGGGAACAGGCTGCCCAGGGAGGAATTTGGTCAGAAAAACAGTCAGTGAGGATCATCCTAAAGAGCTGAAGAAGAAGGGAGAAGGTGAGCCCTGTCTCCTGACTGTGGACACCTGGGAATTTTATGCTGCTTTTGGAAGGGCACTTGTTTGCTCTTCTCTTCCTGAAGCTCAATCTGAGCTGAGCCACATCCGTTCCCTTCCCTCCAGGACATGGTGAACAAACCTTGGAACACTCCTAAAGACTCTGAACACACACAAGGCTCAGCCCACCCTGCCCTCACTGCTCCCAGCTGGTAAAAACAGACCAGAAGGAGGTGAAAAAGGAGGAACTGCTGAAGCTGGCTGGGACTAGAGCARGTGACTAAAATCTGCTGTAATTAATGAGTGATTTAATGAGCCCAGCTGGACAAGGTCAGATGGGCAGAACAGACCCCTGGGGGCAAGTGAAGTGTCTTTACAGAAGCCAGTTTTGAGAAGAAGAATAAAGTCCTGCTGGAGCCTGGTGCTGCTGGTGAGCTTTGCATGGAGGCTGTTGATGGAGCAGGAGATGAGGAAGCAGAGAAAAGTGAAGCAGCCTGGTGGTGGCAGCTGCTGCTCTGCTRTGTAAATCAGAATTCCCAGTGCTCATCTCACCTGCCAAGCAAGCTTTGCAAGTGGAAGGGGCTCTTCTCTACCTTAGAGAAGATGMATGTTGGCACACAGCTTTCACTTGCAGTTATGAGGCTTGAATGGAAAGTGGGATGAGTTTATTTTGTGGATTTTTTTTTTTTTGTAGAATTATGTGTTTTAAATGCTGCTGGAATATTTAAGCCTGTTAAAATGAAGTTGAATGTGGCAATTTAACTAATCTGTAAGATTCCTATAGTGAGAAAAGATTCCTGTTTCAGGAACTAAAGTGTATTGCAGGGAAGCTCCTAAAGATTGGGCTTTTTTGTTCCCCTCTTGTTATCCAGGTGAAATGTAACCTCATTAACCACCACAGCATCTGGCAAATATGAGGCACTTCTGGGCAAGCAGAGGAATCCTGACCACACACAGAGGTCTYAAAAGTGCTGACTTCAAACTTCAATAAGGAAATGGCACCTTGAATAAAGCTCCCTCAACAGCACGTTCTAGCCTAGCCTTTTCATAGGGAATATTGTATCTAATTAATATAATTTCAGAAACTCAACTCTGCTGCAACTAAACAGATGCAGGATGGTTGGGGGTTGTAAAGGATGAGATTCCATCTTAATAATATGAAAATGGTTGAGTACTTTTAAGGATGTGGCAGGATAAACTTCATGGGTGAAGGCTGATGGCTCTGAAACACCTTAACTCTGAAAACCACTTCCTTTGGTTACAGGGGTTTACCTGAAGGTCACAACCTGTGCTTGAAAACCTTGGACTGGGATGAAATAAATGCAAAGCGATGCATTAATTTGTTTTGCTTTGCTCCAAGATTCCATTTGCAGCTTGTGTGTTGGCAGGTAAATGCTCCTGCAGATTCCTAGGTGTGTTTCAGGGGATATTTACCTCTGGGCAGAGATGCAAGCAGYGAGCAGGCAATCATCCAGAGTGCAGTCTCCCTAATGAGGAGGAGAGAGAAGAGAAAAAGGTCAAATGCTTTGTTAGAATGCTAGGGCAGAGATCAAAGACCTTTCCTCTGGTGTAATTTGTGCCATCTTTTCCAGCTCCCTCATCTCTGCAGGTAATTTGGATGGGTTAGAAACCCTGGCTTGTTTTGCCATCGAGTCTTGGGGTGGGTTTTATCTCCTGCCTGTGGAACTGAGGTTTCTAGGTGGCCATAATGGGATGAGGCTTCATTTTCCACCACTAGACCTGTGCTTCCCTCTTGCCTTCTCATATGGACAAAGTTGATTGCATCTATGTAGTCATAACTTTATCTTGAGATTATTTTCTGTTGGYAATTAAATGAAATCCCCTTTGCTTCCAAACTTCAGCTGCTTCACAGCCCAAGGAAAAGCAGAGCTTACCATTTCATTTTTGTGCCTCCCAGCCCTTGGAAATCTGTCCCTGTTGGGAGCTTCACCAAACACTTCAGCTGCTCCTTGTGTCTCTGCAAAAGAGTGAAAGACTCTCAATTTTTGTTTTTATAAGTGTTTCTTATAAGAGAATAGGCTRTTTACTGGGTACCTCATTTGCTGGTTTTTTTCATTTTGTGTATTTAAAGCATTGTGTGTACTTATATAATTTCTGTGTATCTATCATTTACACTCTGTGTATGTAGATTCTCTGCATGTTTGCATTCTGGATACACTCTTGCAATACCAAAAATGTTTTTGCTCGTGTAGGACGGATGTGAGTCACAAGCCCTGCACTGACTAGCCCTCAGCTCAGCCCRCTGAAGGGATTCTTGTTCTGCAGCCAGTTGAGATCAAACAAAGTGGAGAAACCTGATGGGTGTTGTATTTACCAGGAGTTGTGGGCACCATCCTACAAACTGCCAAATACCCCCAAAACTGCACATCTACTAACAAAATAATAATCCTGAAAGGAAAACGATGCCTAAAAGATCTCATTTGAGGAGGATTTTGAATTAGGTGCTTGAAAAGGAAATAAATCCAGAATGAAACGGGGATGGAGGTGTGTGGGGGGATCTGGGGTTTGGGCTTGCTTTTGCCATCCTCATAGGATCTCACAGCTTAAGGATATTAATCACCACTTAATATCTGAGTGATTATTCCTCCCTGTGTCTGCAGAGATAACGCTGATGGTGGAGGCAGCGGTTTAGCCAAGGTTCTCTTCCCACTGAGGTAGCTCCATGTGAGGAAGGTGCTGGAGCTTTTCTTATTGCTCCTGGTGCAATGCGATTCCTGGGGTGAGCAGGACCTGGGTTTCTGTGTTACTCCCTCTCTCCTCGTGGCCAAGCCCGGATTGTGCTTTGTTTAGCAGCCCTTTCCTGGTCCTCAGTGCAAGCCATCTGCCGATGTTGGCTTCTTTGTCATGAAAACCAGTGTGTCCTGCAGTTTGTGATGGACTCCTGTGGCTGCCTCCCTCCCCACTGGAGGAGGTTGTTGTTTCATGCCAGGGAAGCTTCATTTACAGAATYTCATCCCATATTTGTGTCCTTCCTGCCTGTCTCCTGTCAATGAAACTGAGGTGYWGATGGCCASTCTTATCACAGAATCATTYAGGTTGGRAAAGGCCCTGAGATAAAGTCTGACCTTTGTCTGACCACCACTTTGTCAGCCAGACCAGAGTKCCATGTCCAGTTGTTCCTTGAACACTCCAGGGGTGGTGACTCCACCTCCTGTGCAGCCACTCTAACTCTCAACAACCCTTTCTGTGARGAAATTCYTCCTGGTGTGCAGCCTGAGCCTCCCCTGGGGCAGATTGAGGCCGTGTACTCGTCCTTTTCCTGATTTTCTGGCAGCAGAGCAGAGTTTATCTGCCCTCAGCTTTGTGCAGACATTTACTCCACACAACCTGCAAAAATACTGGGAGCAAACTCGTTCTGCTGGACAGGGTCCCACCTCAACCTCTCCTGCTGGACAGGGCCTCACACTGACCACTTCTCCTGGACAAGGCCTCACACTGACCACTTCTGCTGGACAAGGCCTCACACTGACCACTTCTCCTGGACAAGGCTCCTCACTGACCACTTCTGATGGACCAGGGCCCCATACCAACCTCTCCTTTTGGGCAGCAGCAAAGTCTCTGGCCATGCTGAAGGTGTCTGGCCCAGCAGCCATTGGTRCTGTGTCTGTGTCCACTCTTGGTAGGTAAAGGTGTTCCTCATGATAATCTCCTTATTCAGAAATAGCAACAAGTTTTGGTGGTTGTGGCCACCTAGCAGACCTTTTCAAAGGTGCAGTAGCAGCAGACAGAGCAACCCACAAGTCAGAGCTCCTGAAAGTCGTGTCATCCTTCTGGAGAGTCAGTAATTTTCGAATAGTTTTGATTCTGACTCCAGAAAAACACGAGGGTGGTTGTTCCAGCACAGCCRGTTTGTTTGTGTCCCTGTCTCTGGCTGGCTTACACCCACAGAGTCCCTGTGGGATTTCTGGTTCTCACAAATTCCTCTTTGGAAGTTTTGGATTGGGGAGTGACTGAGAGCAGAGTTGAAATGCCAAATTTCAAATTTTGCTTGTGAGAATGTTGAGCTCTCTTGCCCGCCATGTGCTGTTGTTACTTCCCCACTGAAGCTGAGCTTGTGCAGACAGAAAGATTAGTGCAGGTCTTTTTTAAGGAAGCAGAACCCARCCACGGGAATGCTTCAGACGGGTCTGGCTGGAGCACCTGACCCTTAATTCCGCTTAWTTCACTGCTGTTTAGGTGAAATAACTTTTCTTTCTGGTTTGAGCTGACTTAGCTTGAAGGTCCTGGTACCTTAAAGGGGAGATCTGTTCCTGTCTGTCCAGTCCAGCTGGTAGAAGACATTTTATGCAGCATGTGGATAAGCACTAAAAACAGTTTCTATTTGGTATTTAATTTTTCTTATTTTCCAGTTCTGGTTTTAATGAAATGGAAGTTTGGAAACTAGCAATTTTTTTCTTTGTAATTTTTTTCAGATTTAAAATTTGACCCATATATTGTTAATTTTAATCAGATGAAGGAATTATTTAGGACTTTTTCTTTTTTTTTCCCCCTCCCCAGAGGTTAAAATAATTAACTGAGTAAAGTTTTGCAATGAATAATCACTTCCTGAAGAATTCAAATGCAAATTAATAACTCTTTAACACACTAACCTACCTGAAATAACTAAGGCATTGGGTGTAATTAAAGTGTATGATTAAATTATAACATATATAATTAAATTGTAAAATTACGATCTGCTTGACAGTCTCTGCCATCCAACTTTCGCATCATATGTGCAAGGCCATTTATTGGGCATGCTAGCTCAGCCTGCAATAAAATTAAATTAATTAAGTAGGGACGTAACAAACTSTTCTCAGTGCCTGTTGAATAGTAGGGCTTTGTGTCACAAAGCAAATGGATTCCAATTGTCCCTTTCCAGTGCAGGAGGGATGGGGATGAGAAAGGGTCTGAATGCTACGTTTGAAGGTTTTATGCTCTAGGAACACTAAAACTCTGCCTGTGTGGTGGCCCCAGATTGTGACACTGATTTCAAAGTTGCTGTGAGCTAAGAGGGCAGGACAAACTGAAGGAACTGATTTGCTTTGTCAGCTCTTCCCCTTCATTTGCCACCATCCAGCACGGCACTGAATGGAGGGTGACACGAGGTGGAGAAGGCACCAGTAACTCTGAAAGRATCAGCCCAAATCACCCAGATGAATGAAGGCCGCTACCAAATTGGAAACTTGTCATCGTGCACCTGGCAAAGCTCGGTAGCTTAGTCACTGGCAATTTTTTCATGTTTGTCTTTCCCCTCCCTTGCATGCCTTCGGCTTTTGAGGGCAAATTTATGCAAGGTGACTGTGGTTACTGTGGGAGGGTGGGGGAGGCACCTTTCTCCATGACTTTATGAAATCCCGAGTGCGCCCTGAGCAGAAAAATGCCACCCTGCTATTCCTTCCCCACGTTTTTGTCATTTCTTTAAATGCTCTCCTCTCTTGTAACCACAGTTACAATCATTTTAGCTTTAGGTAGAAGCCATCAATTAATAGAAAGCTAATGAGTGAGTTTGCAAGTGGAAATTACAGCCTGGTTTCTTAGAGAAAGTTTTATGATGCAACAGCCTGTACCGAAACTGGGKGATTACATCTGGTTGTATCTGAAAGCAGCCTATAAACAGCATGAGGCATCATTTACAGACCTATAATTAGTGCAAGGAGAGAGATTTAAGAAATGCTGGAGAGGGATACATGCTGCTATGTAGTAAAAAATGATAGTGGCTTCSTCTTCAAGGGTTTCAGGTTTTGATATCGCCCTGATTTGAAAGCAATTTTCTGGAAATTTGTGTGCAGTGGCAGTAAGTGTTTCTGTAGCACCCTTGTGGCTCAGGGCAGTGGCAAGGAGTGCCCTCTGCTCCCTTGGGGGACTGCCTGGGGCTGCAGGCTTCAAAATGTKCTGTGGTGACAGCTGAGCCTTGGACTGGGATCCTGATCTTGGGGTGTCCTGSTGTGGGTGGCTGGCCTGGTTTTCACGTTTGTTTGTTTGTTTGAGCCAAGTTAATGCTGCTGTAATTCTGTGAATTTGCCCTTTTCTGCTGTGCAAAGGGAACTCTGGGGTTCTGTGTTCCCTGTCCCTGCTCCCTCCCTGTGCTCCAGTCACACCAGCCCAGCTGTGGAGGTGGTGGGTGGGGTGCTGCCTTTGGGCTTTCCTGTGTTTCCCCATGCTGCTGGAATTTCCCACAGCCTGTTGAAGGCTTGTTGTGGGCTCTGGGAACTGAAAGTTTATCAAGTGCCTGTTTGATCTGGAAAGCTTTTCCTTCTTAGGGATAATGAATGAATGAGTGATGATGAATGGTGCTGGTGGGAAGCTGTAGGATCCAAGAATCATTAAAGTTGGAAAAGACCTTGAGATCATCGAGTTCATCTGTCACCCCATGTTCACCCCTAAACCATGTCCTCAAGAGCCACCTYTACCTGGTTTTTGATCACTTCCAGAGATAGTGACCCCACCATTTCCCTGGGCAGCCTGTTCCAGTGGTTTACAACCCTTAATTATTTCCTGATACCTACTCTAAACCTCCTCTGGTGCAACTTGAGGCCCCTTCTYATCYTGCCACTTGTTGTCTGGGAGAAGAGGTTGACTCCCACCTGGCTCCAGCCTCCTTCAGATAATTGYAGAGAGTGATAAGGTCCCCCCTGAGCCTCCTTTTCTCCAGGCTGAGCACYCCCAGCTCCCTCAGCTGCTCCAGACCATTCCCCAGCTCTGTKGCCCTTTGTTTGYCCCAGTTTACYKCATGCAGGAACTCACCTTCCCTGGCTTTTAACAAATAGCTTTGGTAAGGAGGAATTCATTCCTGTGTGTGTGGAAATAAAACATGTGGGGAAACCAGGAATTTCAGTTTATAATGGATCAGCTTCCAGGATTCAAACATGAGCATCTTCCCRAAGGTTTGATGAAAAGTAGCAAAACTCGAGGTGTTTGGCCAAAAATGGGCTGTGTTTTGTTGCACACTTAGCAAACTGGAAGCCTCAGGAAATTAGA